GTTGAGCACGTTCGTTGTTATAGCGTTTGTTTAGCGCGATTGTTGAAGTTGAGTGTATCGGTAAAGTTATATTCGAAAAGAATAAACCAGTTTTTATTAAGAAAATAAAGTTTAGTCTGAAAGAATTTACGGAAAATTAACTAGCGAACGGAGACGTAACAATATATACACACTTATTTTAAAAACAAAAGATGCATGCACAACAACATTAATTTAAAACTTTTTTAACTAGTCATAAACGAAAGCGTCATTGCCACTTGTGGTTTGTTGTGGAGACGACACTCACGTAACTGGAAATTACTGGACTTGTTTTGTTTTTCTTTTATGCCGTCCACTATTTGTGAGGTCCACATATTGTCTGGTAGTGAAGAGCTTTATGTTTCTGTCTGGTAGTGAAGAGCTTTATGTTTCTGTCTGGTAGTGAAGAGCTTTATGTTTCTGTCTGGTAGTGGAGAGCTTTATGTTTCTGTCTGGTAGTGGAGAGCTTTATGTTTCTGCCTGGTAGTGGAGAGCTTTATGTTTCTGTCTGGTAGTGGAGATAATGGTTTCTTGTGAGACAACGTTATCCTCTTGGTTTCTTGCGAGACAACGTTATCTTCTTGGTTTCTTGTGAGACAACGTTATCCTCCTGGTTTCTTATGAGACAACGTTATTCTCTTGGTTTCTTGCGAGACAACGTTATCCTCTTGGTTTCTTATGTGACAACGTTATCCTCTTGGTTTCTTGCGAGACAACGTTATCCTCTTGGTTTATTGTGAGACAACGTTATCCTCTTGGTTTCTTGCGAGACAACGTTATCCTCTTGGTTTCTTATGTGACAACGTTATCCTCTTGGTTTATTGTGAGACAACGTTATCCTCTTGGTTTTTTGTGAGACAACGTTATCCTCTTGGTTTCTTATGTGACAACGTTATTCTCTTGGTTTCTTGCGAGACAACGTTATCCTCTTGGTTTATTGTGAGACAACGTTATCCTCTTGGTTTCTTGCGAGACAACGTTATTCCTTGCAAATTTGTGAGCCCTTTTATCATCATTTGGTGTTTTCCCAGGATAAACTTGTGATAAGAGGCGAGCCGCTGTATAGTTGACTAAATATTTACAAATCAAACTGGACGATCACTATTATTACTTACAATATCTTACTCTTTAAAGAAAGAGTAGTCGACCATAAAACACTCGTTTCTTCAGCTGGTGCAAAGAATCTTGGTTCTCATTACCTTATTCACCAAGATGTTGGTTTAACATCTAGAATACGGTCCTGGCATAAAATGGCGTTTTTGAGAGAGTTCAAAGGGCATTAAAATATAACAGAAGGTTAGGGTTGAAGTAAAACGGCTCATATTTGAAATACTAAAATAATATTTAGTTTATAAGACACTCTAAACTGGATTAACTAATGAAATAAGAGTTTCTTTCTCTTTAAACCTAAAGCGTACAATAAAATAAAAATTTAAGATTGGATTAATTGTTTTATTTGTCATTTATTAAAGAAACACGTTGCCTGGATACATCATTTATTAAAGAAACACGTTGCCTGGATACATCATTTATTAAAGAAACATGTTGCCTGGATACATCATTTATTAAAGAAACATGTTGCCTGGACTCATCATTTATTAAAGAAACATGTTGCTTGGATACATCATTTATTAAAGAAACATGTTGCCTGGATACATCATTTATTAAAGAAACATTTTGCTTGGATACATCATTTATTAAAGAAACATGTTGCTTGGATTCATCATTTATTAAAGAAACATGTTGCCTGGATACAGCATGCAGAGTTTGGGTACATAACTTTATAACAGTAGATCTATGTGAATTTTACATGAATTAATGGGCGCTTGTTACCTTTTCAGATTTTACGCGTGTGCACAACACCAGCACATGGCGGTCGTAATACGCAGACTTCAGCTGAATATTTAATTTAATCCTTCTGTCATCACATCAGGCATCTAAACATTGTTTATATTTAAACGATACGTAAGTAATGCGAACATACTTCGTAAACGTGTCAATGTACTTTATTCCAAACTTCTTTACCTCGGATTTTCTGAGACGTGTTGACTTCTTCTTTTATCACATTAAATCAGCTAAAAGAGCGATAAACAAAACCAAAACCTAATAACATTTATAAAGGTGGCGCGTCTCTCATTAAGGACTGGCATTCTTTATGTTATAAACTCCATATTTATAGTCTTGTTCGACGCTGTGATTATGATCTCAATATGAAACAAAATCTTTGAATCATCGCGCAGACCTGTAAAACGTGCAGTGTAATAACATCACCTTCTACATTCTGCCTTGACCTCGTTGAACGAGTGTTCTAAAGTAAAACCTGTGTCTTCACTTTGGGCCAAAGTAGCAACAATATGCTACGATATACACACTGTTTGAACTGACATTCCCTCTATAGGTTTACTGTAATTTTATACAAATCGGTTACATTAATCACGAAATTTACCTTGTTCCTCGACAAAAAAATTAGTAAAATGGGAGAGGTTGGGAGTCTTGTAGAAATATAGGGTGGTCTGTTTCAACTATGGGAATATTTTTGGACGTTGGCAATTTTACATCGTAGACATTTAGGGTGTTTTATTTCTGTTTTAAAGTTGTATCTAAATATTAAGGGTGACTGCCTTCACACAACTGGCTGCAGACAGCGAAAGGTAGTAGGAACTGAGACGTTACAGATTAAATCATTCAACTCCCAACCCTTTAATGATTTTCCTTAGTTTGTTGGTTTGACATTTGCGTCT